GAGGGAACCACCCTAGGAGACTGACCCTGCCTCTTTGCCACATAGATTATTAGATACGGGCACCTGCCAGTCCAGTATCCTCCTCTCCCAGAAATTTTTTTTTTAAGTTATTTGGGGTTTGGGGGGCTTTTTTTGTTTTTTAAAATTTATTTATACTTTATTTATTTATTTTTGGCTGCGTTGGGTCTTCACTGCTGCACATAGTGTTTCTCTAGTTGCTGCGAGCGGGGGGCCACTCCTTGTGGTGATGCACGGGCCTCACTGCAGTGGCCTCTCTCATTGCGGGCTCCAGGCGCGCAGGCCTGGAGCACGGGCTGCAGGCGCGCAGGCCTCAGTAGTTGTGGCGCATGGGCTTAGCTGCTCCGCGGCATGCAGTATCCTCCCGAACCAGGGAGCGAACCCGTGTCGTCTGCATCGGCAGGCAGACTCCCAACCACTGTGCCACCATGGAAGTCCCCTCTCCCAGAAATTTATTAGACCTGGGACTTGGATATGCCAGCTTGGTCTGCCGCTGGCTTGTGCTGTGGCGATGCTGGAGGAGCTGGACAAAAAGAGCTGGACCACAAGACAAAGGATGTGGCAATTTACAGAGGGAGGCAGAGGCAAAGAGCTGAGCATTCTGACAGGATCTGCATCTGGGTCCCAGTCCAGCCACATCCCTGCTGCCAGTCTGATGCAGCACCCCATATCCATATAACCTCCCCTTTCCCTTAAGGAAGCTCGAATTGCACTTCTATTGCTTGCAATCAAAAGCATTCTGATACTCTATCTCATCCTAAAAAACAAAAAACAAAAACAAAACAAAAAAAAAGCCAGAACCTTTATACCCTGATACACAGCAGAGGGACATATGGTTATATGGCTGGGTTCTGGCACCAGCCTTCCTCAACTGAATCCGAGTTCTGCCTCTTACTAACTCTGTGACATCAGACAAGCTACCTGACCTCTGTGTGTCAGTTTCCTCATCTGCAAAAGGACATACTAATAGTACCTACGTTGTAGTGTTTTGAGAATTAAATAAGTTAATCCATGTTGAGCAAAGTGCCTGGCATGCAAAAATCACTCATTTAACATTAGGTATTATTCATAGTAGGAGAGGGCAGTAGTGTCTGGGAGAAATTTTATCATCTCTTTAAAGAGCAAAGAGGCAAACCAAGGGAGATAACTTCCCACGGAGACACTCTCTCTCTCTAGCCATTGTCCCAGCTTGTTAGATGTGCCATGTTGAATCCTCCAGCCACCATTCCAGACACTTGGCTGTCAATTTATAGAAGGGATAACAAGGCCTTTCTCTAAGAAAGTTAAAGTTTGCTATAATGATTGTATTGGGGTACAGGGATAATACCCATGTCAGACAGTCATTTTTAAAATGTGAAATCTAAGTGTCAACATATATATGGAGTGGGTGATGAGACCTGTATGGGTTTTACTCCACGCGCACAGAGAGTCTTTATAATGGAAATGTCAGGTGGTATTTATTCATATGTCTACAAACACAATAACACTAAAGGGAACAAAGAAAAGCCAAGGGGTAAAAATGTCCAGCGCCAAAAAATGTGACATTTAGAAGGATCATCGGTGTGTCTGAAAATCCACGTTGGTTGGATTCTTGGCTCTCCTTTCATTTACTCCAGCAGTCACTAGGTTCACTAGGTTACAGCAGTTAACACGGGAACATGGTTAGCTTATCTTACTTTCATTTTTAGTGATCTAATTTTGAGAACAGCTGAAAAGGAGTGGAAATAAAGAATAAAGATCGAGCCATATTTTTTTAAAACAGGAAATTATATTTTTAAAAAAGAATAAAAGCAAGAGAAAAAAAGAACAGAAGAGAATCAAAAGCCCTGGGCGCTGGCTGGGTCTTTTTGACTTTATAATTCTGTACATTCATATATAATCACATTCAGATCTCCCTTCCTGAAGAGTGAGCTCCTTGAGGCCAGGATCCAAGTCTGGCCATCTTTGTCTCCAGGCAGTGCTCACCCTGTGCCTGACCCACACCAGGACCCAGCTGTTTGACCACTTGCTGACTGAAAGATAAAGGAAAGCAGGGGGACCAAACGGGAAAGGACAGAAGTAAATAGGACAATTCTTGCAAGGTTGCACTTGAGCTCCTCAGAACTGGGGCACCACTTCACATGTATCTTACATGCATTACAGGCGGGCAGAATCCATTTCATAGATATCGCTATCCAGCAAAGCACGCTGCATCCTTTAGACACTCAGTATTTACCAGAACAAATAAAAACGCTTCTTTTAAGATCCATAATTTGTCTCCGGAATATTCAGACAACCTCATTTCCTCCTTCTTCCTATTACTCGTTACTCATCCTCCCTCCAGCCAGTCCCCTCAGGGTCCCGGGAACACACCCGAGGCTTCCGAACCACTGACTTTGCTGACTTTGCTCTTCGCCGGGATGCCCTCCCTATTGGCTAATTTAGGAATTGATTTCAAATCATTTCAAATTATTCTTTGTTTTACGTATTCTAGTTGAGCCAAACTACAATGTCAGCAGAAACAGAAACTGCAAAATGGAGTGCAGTAGTTAAGTCACAGACGCTAGAGTCAAACTGCCTGTGTTTGAAGCCAGGTCTCGCCAATAAATAGCCAGGTGTGCTCAGGCCAGTGACTTACCCCTGCGGGCCTCAGATTCCTCATTTGTAAATGAGGATAAAGATGCTAAGAGTAGCTAATAACAACCTTACTGAGTAGGGCTGTTGTGAGGATTAAGAGAGTGACAACACGTGAAATATTCAGAAGAGTGCGCGGCCCATAATGTTGCTAGAAGGGTTCCCGCTTGTTAGTTAATCTCCCACAGAACCTAGCATTCTGCTGAAGAAATGGTTTTATCGATAAATCTATGTTCGTTTCTATAACTTTTTCTCGCATATATAGTACATATATAATGGATAACAATTAGAAAATGCATGTAAGATATAGAAAATACATACAACAAAAGAACTCCAGCAATGCTACTTCCCAGAGAAAATATTTTCATATATTCCATTCATTAATTAAACAACATTTACTGAGCACCTAATATATGAAAGACTTCACGCCCTTGCTGGAGGTAAAATGATGAACAAAGACAGAAACGGCTCTTGCTGTGGAGGTTACAGTCTGTGGCGGGGAGACACGCCTTAAGCAAGGAATGATAAAAAACATGCGAAGCTGCAACTGTGATAAATGCTAGAACGGAGAGGTCCAGGTGTCATTGGGTGATCTGACCTAGTTGTGAAGGTCTGTTACTTGAAGGTTGTGAGGAAGTGACTACTGAGCTGAGAATTAACTCATAGGAGTTAACTCAGAAAGGTCAGAAGGGAAGGGTTTGCCCAACAGAAGCACAGTGAATCCAAAGGCCCTGCACTGGGAGGGAGAGTGGTGAGCAGAAGAGAGGAGGAGGGCCCACAGAGGCTGCAGTGCTCACTGGGCAAAGCTGGCCGGGTAGAGAGAGGGCAGACCTACAGAGCTTAGTATCCTTAGTTTAGAAATTATATTCTCTATTCATTCAACAAACTTTGCCTATGAGATCCAGGGACATACTAATTTTACATCAATTAGATTTATATCATATAATCCTTTTATCATGAACTTTTTTGAACAATAAATATACAGTAATTTAATTCTCACTGGTGGAAGTCAATAGATTTTTCCCAACTCTCCATTATTTCTAACAATGATGTGACAGTTTTCTCTGGGCATTTGTCCAAATATTTGTTGACATACATTCCTGTAAGGGGAATTGCTGGTTCTGCCAATTTGTTAACATGTTTTAATCATAATCTTGTCTGGGAAATCAGCATATTCAACTGTCAAGATTTGATTCTAGGCTCTTTTGAGGTTGGTACCACTGTTACATTTAGAGGCATTCTTCCTGACTTTCAGAACCTGCTTCTTCATTTGCTTCAGTGTGTGAGGAAGTCCCTTCTATTTCTGATCCCCACGGGTCTTTCCCACAAATTCAGATCGCTCAGTACTGGCTGCTGACAAAATATCTTTACAGGTCTAGAATCCTAACTGTCCTACTCCGGGCTTCCACAGGAGAGGAAAGGCCTTATTCTCTGTCTGTGAAGGATCTTCCTCTGGACTTGAGACACATTCAAAGAGAAGGCAGATTCTGACACTCCTTTCCTCTCTTCTGCCTCCTATTTTGTCCGGCTCCATTTTCATGCAATAAATTTTCTAACTTGTTAAATGCAGATGGAACTCAGATGATTCTACTACAGACCAAGGTTTCCCATTCTACTGAGTTGATAGATGTCATCTTCTCCCGAGTCTGTCTTTCATCTTCTGCTTTCATCTACTGGCAAGCTGTCTTTTTTCTCTTTCAAAATCCTGTTTGTATCCTAACCCTTAAATGACCTTCTAAGGACCCATTTACTTTTAGGTCATAGATAATTTCTAGGCTTCTAATGATTTACATAGCTAATCGATTCGCATTTTCTTTAGCGGTTCTTTGCATTCCATTTCTTTATTGCAAAAAAAAAAAAAAAACCTTTTTCCAAGGTCAATGGGTTGCTCTTGCTTAAAGCAACCAATCTTTGGTTAGGACTTCGATGGATACCAAGTGTCTAGGTAAGGTTAGGCTTACTACGTACAGGCGCAGTGTGAATTGCATCATATAGGTTATTACGTTTAATCCTCACGACAATCCTGTGGGATAGGTATCATTCCTTCCTGGTTTAGGGATCTTCCCCATTTTACAGATTAGGAAACTGAGGCTTAGGAATGCTGTCTCTCATCTATAGTCACACAGCTACCATGTGGGGAGTTTATTTCTGCTTGTAAACTGACATGAAGAAAAGGGAGACAGGCTAAGAAAGAAAATATAAAACGGGGAAAAGCAAGCAAAGGAAACAGCAGGTGGGCGGAAGCCTCCCTTTTGCCTTTTCCTTCCTCCGCCCCCGACCCCGCAAGGCCGAGCCTCCAACGTGGCCCGCACGCCTCCCAGCGGCCGCATCTCTGCGGCCGGCACTTCCGGTCTCGGGATGCTATCATCAGCCAGCGCCCTGAGTCGGCGCCGGACATGTGCGTGCGTGTGGCGTAGGACGTCGGATGAGGAGGCGGGTTTTCTGGCTCTGTCCAAAGCCATTTCCGTCAGGAGCCGGAAGTCCGTCCTGGATTGCATCGGGGGAGGCCTGTTCGTGGACCTGAACCCTGGGGCTGCTGGTCATCCCGCGCCCGCTGGTTGCCTCATGGTGCGGGCCGCGACCGCCAGCCCCCGTGCGGATTGGCGGCGCTAAGGCGCCGGGGCAGCGCGCGACATGTCGTCGGGCCTCCGCGCCTCCGTCTTCCCCCGCTGGAAGCGCCACATCTCGGAGGAGTTGAGGCGGCGGGACCGGCTGCAGAGGCAGGCGTTCGAAGAGATCATCCTGCAGTGTGAGCGGCTGGCGGGCCCCGGCAGCGGGCGGGCGGGCCCAGCCGAGGCATGCGGGGCGCCAGCGGGAACCCGAGGCCGAGCCCCCCGCGCCTCCCGCGCGCCTTGAGGCCGCCCCGGGTACCCAGTGCCTTGGACCCCCAAACGCCTTTTTAGATCTTTTCCTCTTTCACTTTATTCTTGGGTGTGACTGTGCTGGGTTTTCCTCCTCAATTGGGTATTCTTCACGGGCAGGCACCGTTCATGTCTGTGTTTGTAAATCCCAGCAGCTCACATAATGCTTGTGTTACTTAAATAGGCCGGTTCCAGAAACATCCTGTTTCGGGCATCGTGTTGTTACTGACATGGGCCCTGACTTTAAGCAGTAACTCGCTCCGTTACCGTCGTCTTCAGAGTGTAGTGAAATGTTTGCCTTTTGTCCCTGAAGGTCTGTTGTTCTTCCTCCACTGTGGTGTGTTTTGACCGTTACATATTACACGTCTTGAGTCTTAACGTACTTTTTAGTTGGGACATCACAGTCTTTACTGTCATTGAAAACTTCAGTGTGAAAGAGGTGGCCCACACCCACCCCCGCTGCTGCAATTTGAGTACAAAAATGTTTGTGCCCTTAGATGCCTTCTAAAGAGCATTTCCTTGCCCCCCGCCCCATTTTACCATAACTGACGACACGTTTGGGGGAAGAAACGGGGCACTCTTCGGACCTCTGGTTCTGTCTGCCCCTTGAAGTAAGCCTGCAAATCTCAAATCATGTTGATGATGCAGTTCAGTGTAATAGTAGGTGCCCTTTATTGAATTCTGATTGTGCTAAATTTATGGTTCCTGAACTTACCTGCACATTAGAATCAGGTGGGGATCTTTTAAAAATTATAAAGCCCAGGCCACACCCCAGACCAACGAAACCCCAGTAGTAGAGGTGGGACACAGGTGTCAGTGTTTCTTGATGATCCCCCCCCCCCAAGTAATTCTAAGGTAGAGACAAGGTTGAGTGCTGTCGTAAATATTTGGCATGTGTCGTTTCACTTTATCTTTCTGAAAATTCTATGAAGCAGGTCCTGTTGCCCTTTATACAAATGAGAAAATTGAGACTGAGAGAGATTAGGTCATTTCTCTGGGGAGGTACAGCAGATTAATGATAGGGCCTGGATTTGGACACAGACTTGATGGCTCCTGACTTTTTTGCCCTTTTGCCTTTCTCATTGGGTCCCCCAAGAAACGGCCTTCTTGCTTTTGCTGAGCCCATCCTCTTAACTAAAAAGGGGAGAAAAAGGAGATGATGAATGTGCCACTCCTGTGCTGATTCCTTACACTCTTAAGAGGCTGGCAGCCCAGTGCTCTTTCAGAAGCACAGGAAACGCCTTGCTGAAACGATTTCTCATGGGTTACATAAATTCAGGTCATCGGGTATTTCATCATATGCTTATTCTTTAAAAGCTAATACACACTGAAGGTCAAATTGGGTTGGAGGTCTGATGACACTCCCCTTACCAGCCTCACTTACCTGAGTCTCGTTTGCTGCATCTATAAAATAGGGGTGAAGCTTGCCTTGCCTGCTTCATAAACACAGAGCTGTGCATATAAGTGCTTTGAAAGCCATCTACGTAATTGTCTATAAATGGAAGGTGCTTGTAATCACATTGACACAATTGAATGTTTTTCTGCACTTTGAAAATGGACATCTTGAAGGGGTGGAGGATGTTGGAGGAAAGTCAGAAAGACAGGTCAGTCCTGGAGAGAGAACACATCTTAAAACAGCTATAGTGAGTAATGCATGCCCGGGAGCTAGGAGAGGAGGCTGAGAGGGGGGGCAAGAGGGCAAGACAACCTTGGCCTGTTAAAATCTGCAGTTGAGGCAGGGGACTGACATTTAGGAGGTCACTTCTAGATGGTGGAACAGCCTCACTCTTCATTCCTAGCTTCCCAAAGCAGTCAACCAGAGTTTCCCATTCAGTCCTGCCTCTGAGCCTGAAGAGAAAGATGAAAAGAGGCTATGGGGACAGCAGGTGGCCTTTGAGTGAGAGGAACTTTTAAGAAGGTATTCCCTCTTGAATACCTCATGTGTTTGATATCACAGGGCACCTAGCTGTAACATTTTGAAGATCTTATTAGAGCCCTTTGACACTGGTGAACATTCAAGGTTGGAATCACTTCCCTGTTCTCTTGAGCTAATTTATTAAATTAATATTGAAGATAGTGTTTCTGTTTCTGCCCAGGATTTCCATTTTTAGATATCAAGAAGTAGGACTCGACTCTTTAAGGGGAAAGATAAGCTATTCTAACAGGAATAGTCACTAGCATAAACCCTCTCCAACTTTTGCTGTGAAGCAACGCTAATCTCAGACGTTTGGGATCTGTGAAAGCCCCTGTTGGGTGTGGGTTTTCTGTAAGTTTCCCGTGGTCACTTTCTCGTTCTACTTTGTGCACCCACTTCCACTTCTGATCTCACTGGCCCCCTGCATGCATGTCATTTCTTGCCCTGACTTTTCTTTTGAATTTCTGCACTGTGTTCCCTGTCACATTTATTAAGTTCCAAGGACTCATTTTCTTCCTTGAGCTCTCTGCTCCTGTGTTCTCTGGCATGTTAGGATCTTGCATCCAGTTGGACGAGCAGGGAACCTCAGAATAATCTTTGACTTCTTACTAATTGATATCTGTTCATGTCACTGCCTGCTTTTAAAATCTGTTGTTTCGCTATTGCCAGTAAGAAGAGGTCTGAATTTCTCATCCTGCCCTCTCATGTGTTGGTGCAAACTTTTATTTCTAGCCACTTGCTGAACAGCTCTCTAGACCTGCTTGGACTGTCTGTCATCTTCACCTGTGAAACCATCTGAGAAAATGAGTAAAAGTTCACTCTTCCTTTTTATACTTGACCTTCACCCCACCCCCACCCCCATTACACTTTTTTAGCTCCTTGAGGTCAGGGACTCTGGTTTGTTTTTGTATCCCTAGTGCCCTGATCTTAGATTAAATATTCCAGGGACTCTCTGGCAGTCCAGTGGTTAAGACTTGGCCTTCCAGTGCAGGGGGTGTGGGTTTGATCCCTGGTCGGGGAGCTGAGATCCCGCATGCCTCGCAGCCACAAATCCAAAACGTAAAACAGAAGCAATGTCGTAACAGATTCAATAAAGACTTTTAAAAAATGATCCACATTAAAAAAATCTTTTTAAAAAATATTCCAGGGCTTCCCTGGTGGCGTAGTGGTTGAGAGTCTGCCTGCCAATGCAGGGGACGCGGGTTCGTGCCCCAGTCCAGGAAGATCCCACATGCCGCGGAGCTGCTGGGCCCGTGAGCCGTGGCTGCTGGGCCTGCGCGTCCGGAACCTGTGCTCCGCGGCAGGAGAGGCCACAACAGTGAGAGGCCCGCAAAAAATAGTATCTTCTTTCTAAAAAACTTCCAAATATAATAAGGTAAAGGTTTCCTCTCTTACTTAGAGGTGCATAGCACTTCACTTTTCCATTGTGTTTTGGTATGTTTGTTGCCTCTTTCCCAGGTAGAAACAGGTAGCTGTGGGAGTAGAAAGCATGGGCACGGGGGCGTTTTGGAGTGATTTTTCATAGGTTCCTTTGTCTGGGCTGCCTGTGCTTGGGCCAGGAAGCGTCTAAGGAGCGCATGTGCCTAGAGTTTGCACGATTGCTGTAATCGGTGGTAAAGTACAGTGCCTAGTACTTTGATACCTCATAAAAGTGAAACCTGCCCAGTCATCTTCTGGTTATTTCTTTGGTCCAAATCTTTATAAGATGTTAAGTAGTAATAAAGCATACCTGGGTTGTAATAACTTTTTTTTTTCTTTGCTAGATAACAAGCTGCTGGAAAAGTCAGATCTTCATTCAGTGCTGGCCCATAAGCTACAAGCTGAAAAGCACGACATACCAAACAGGCATGAGATAAGGTATTCTGAAACTATCCTGTATTATTTGTGTCTCCTTTTTAATTGAAATTTATCTCAGTTCAGTTGTCACTTCCCTGATTTTGAAACCAAGTACTGTGTTTGTGCTCCACTTTTTGTCAGTTCCTTTCAAATAAAAACTTCTGAAGCCAAATAACTAACTATTTAACTTTTTTTTTGAAGGTATGTAGCTACCCACCTAGAAGGCTCATCATCAGTACGATGTGAGCTTGAGAAATTGCTTAAGGCGAGTAACCAGGCCAGTTCCTCCTGTAGCCTGCCAGGGTTCACTTTTTCTAAATAATCAGACAAGTAAGCATTCTTGAGCAGATTTACATAGATCTTGTCAGTACAAGATTGACTGGCCTGTAAACATAAGCGCTACAGGTCTATGTGATCCTTTTTAGTTCAGTGTTGTTTCCATGTATCTTAGTGTGCAGTCAAACCAGTGGGTTGCAGAAAGCTTTTTTTTTTTTTTTTTTTTTTTAAGAAAGATTAGGCAGAAATCTGCATTTTATAGGAAGGCTAAGTATTGCTTCACTAAATATGTGAGTATGTATTCATGGTGGGGAGTTTAGTATCTTTACTTGGGTCATTCATGTAAACTATCTCTTTTTGAGGGTCATGGTCCAAAAAAACCTTAAAGCCATACTTCATCAGAGTGGCTTAAATGGAATCATTCTAGAGTCTTAGTGTCCTCCTTTTCCATTTGTTCATCACGTTTGCATATTAAATTTTGTGGTTTGTATGGGAACAGTACCCGTTATTGTTCTAAAGTCTACAAGCTTTTTTGCATATTAGCTAACATTTAGCAATTGTAAAAACAAAGCTGATGGTAATTTAGGATTTTAGGAAAAAAACAGAAATGCTGGGTGTAGCTTGTTTCATTTACTCCTATAGCCATATCTGCTAACTACTTGCCATCCGTGTTTCCTCATCTGGTGAGGTGGTCTCCAGGCAGACCGGAGTAGAAAGAGGAACAGATGGCCCGGCGTAGGTTCCATTTTTGCTTAAGAACAATTCAGGAGATCGTGCCTAGCTGTGGTCCTGGGAGGTCTTCTGCAGGATTTAAAATATTAGTTGCTGTGTTCTGGTCAACTTTAGGTGTAGTGAATCCACTTCGCCCTTTTTCATCTAAATTCAGTCAACTGAAAACTTGAAACATTTTATTTCTATCTGGTTAGCCTCTTGGTGACTATATTCCTGCATCCTTTATCTGTCAGCGAAACTCATTTGCTTGGAAAGGTACAATAAATAAATATACAGCATTCTTTTTAACTGAGTATCACTGGGGTGGTAATTTAACTGGAAGTCCGTCCTTCCTGCAAACTTGTGTTCAGTCAGGCCTCTTCCTGACTGCCTCGTTTCTATTAATGGTATCCTTATTTTCCACAAGTCAGCTATGATTCCTTTTTCCCTTGGTGTCCTGCCCCTCCCCCTTTGCAGTCACCCAGGCCTGTTGATTCTTTGCCCAAGTGTCCTGTACGTCTGTCCCTTGGTTTGCATTTGTGTGCTACCAGCTTCATTGCTTCCATTCCTAGACTATGGCAGGGGTCTCGTTCACTGAGTCATTTTGTGACTACAGTGTGGGCCAGGCGTTGGGATACAGAGCTGAATAAGCCAAGAGTCCTTGTTCGCAAGGACATGAGCCTCGTGGGGGAGAGTAGCTCAGTGAGGTGTGTGCTAGTAGGATACAGGTATTCACAGAAGATGGGCATCTAATTGGCTGCTTTCTCTCTTCTGGGCTCTCAAGTCCTGTCCATCCCATTCTAATTAATCTTAAAACACACTGTGCTTAAAAAGCTTTATCTCATCAATTATCTGACTCCTCTCTTAAGTGTTTGAATCCCTTTGCTTACTGAATAAATCAAAGTGAAACTCATCCCTGAGAAATAGTTGATTCCAACAGTTTTCTAAGTATGCCTGCTAGACCACAGCCTCAGAGATTTGTTAGAAATGCAGAATATTGGGCCTCACCCCAGAGCTCCTGTTTCAGAAACTCTAGGGGTGGCGCCCAGTAGTCTTGTTTTAAGAACGCTTTAGGTGATTCTGATGACCTCTAACATATAAGAACCACTGATTTAGTGGCTACTCAGTCGTTGTGAAGTATCCGAGACACCCGGGAGCATGTTAGAAATGCAGATTATTGACCCTTTTCTTCATCGACCTGGTGGTGAATCGTTCTGGGATGGGGCCCAAGAATCTGTTAAAACCTACTCTCTAGGTGATTCTTTTTTTTTCTGCCTAGTGAAGCACTGTTATTGGGGCTTTTGTAAGAAGTTTGACTTTTATTGTGAATAAAATTGGAAGTGGTAAAAGGCTTTGAGCAGAGGAGTGAGTGCCCTGTATCCTTGCCTTTTTTCAGGATTCTCTTCAGCTCCTTGGAGGAACAGACTGGTTTTATGTTTTGCATATTTCACATTGCTTTGCATTAAAATAAGGGGATTTGATAGAAATTATTTCTTTTCCTCCTAATCCCCATGTGCAATCAACACCCAGGCCTGTTGCTTCTTCTGCCTAATTTAGGGTGGTTTCTTATAAGGTATGTGCCGCTTTCTAGTCTCTTGGCTTCTAGTTCATGGGCCAGGATTGGGGAAGCACTATGTTGCCTCAAAGAATGCAGTATTAGTGTATCTTAGAACATGTAAGAAGAGTGCTTTTAGAGACGGAGGGTAGGTTTAGGAGGGAGCATCATTCTGCTGCCTTTTCCCTCGTGATTTCTTGTCGGTCATTGGGAAGAGACAGTGCCCTCGCTTCAGATGGTGGCATCCTAGTTTGCCAGCCATCTTCCTTTTCTCCATCTGTGTGCTTTCCCTGGGGAGTGCTTTCAGCTACTCACTGTAGTCTGATAATTTACACCTGTAGCTCCAGCCAAGCCCCACCCCCCCTCCTGAATTACAGATCCACAGTTCTGTTCACCTGCTGTTATTTCTGAGATGGTATGCAAACACCTGCAAACTTTCCCAAATTCCATTGACTCTCGAGGTGGCCTGAGCTCCGTCCATGGCTTTAGATACATCCGTTTGCTGACAGCTTCTATATGTCAGCCTCCAGCTTGGACCTCTTTACTTGAAGTTCAGACTCTTAACAATATGCAATTTCCACTTGACATGCCCACTTGGATGTCGACGGTGAACTCGCTCTTCAGGCCTCCCCCGACCTCTTGCCCCAGTCCTTCTGCCTCAGTAGGTGATGCCTACCTTTGATCAGCCACTCAGGGCAGAAGCCTTGGAGTCGTCCTCGACTCCTGTCTTTCTCTCATTACCCACAACCAATTCAAAGGCAAGTCCTGCAGTCTCTCCAGAGTGGATCTAGCTAGGATCTGACCACGTCTCACCGCCTCTGCTGCCGTCACCTTGTCCCGATCTGCACTTTCTGAGTCTGGAATATGTAATAGCTTGCTAACTGGTCTCGCTGTTTCTGCCCTTAACCCCTGCAGTGTGCTCTCCACCCAGCAACTGTAGCGATCCTTTCAAAACGTAAGTCATTCCTCTGCTGAAAACCCTTGGCGGCTTCCAGTCATGCATAGGAAAAGCCACAGTCCTCGGGGGCCTGCGAGGCTCTGCGTGGCCTCCCTGATCCTCCCTGCATCCCCTCGGGCGCTGCTGTCACACTTGCCCCCAGCCTCTCCAACACTTGCTGTTCCCTCCACTCACAGGGCTCCGCCCCCGGGCCCACATGGCTTGTTCCTCCTTGCCCCCAGCCTCTCCAACACTTGCTGTTCCCTCCACTCACAGGGCTCCGCCCCCGGGCCCACATGGCTTGTTCCTCCCTCTTTCCAGTCTTCAGTCAAGTGTCACCTCTCAGGATGCCTTTGATTACCGCACGTGGAACAGGAGCCCCATCGCTCTGTCCCCTTCTTTACACTGCTTAGTTTTTCTTCACAGCATATCTGACCACCTGACTCCATCCATCTACTCATTTGTTGTCTGTCTACTCTTAGCCAATTGTACAGCTTCCTGTTCCCTGCCTTCTCCCCGCTAGGCACCAAAACAGTGCCTAGCACAGAGCCGGCACTCAGATACTTGTCGGGTGAGTGGACCTCGTTGTCTCCTCCCTGTTTACCTGCACTTTATTCCGGAACCCATCCTTTGTTCCTGACGCAGCTGGTGGTATGGGTTGTGGTTGGTTGGTTTTACCCTGTGTCTTGTATCTCCTACTTTCTGCTTTAGGTTTGTAGTGACTTATAACTCTCTTGGCCTGGAGAACTGAACTGCTTTCTTGGCTATGTTGTCATGTACAGGTTTGAAATTCTAAAGTTATTGTTCCAGTGCCTGATTGAAGGGCTCTGGGGTCTGATTTTTTTTCTCTTGTTTGCACGTTCTCTTCATCTGCCTGGTTGGGGCATTTAGTCCTGGACATGATGGTGCATGGAATGATAGTCAGCTGCAAGAAATGGCCCAGCTGAGGATTAAACACCAAGAAGAACTGACTGAATTACACAAGAAACGTGGGGAGGTAAAGATAGCTCCTCTCCTCGTCTGTCTTGGGGGGTCGGGGGGGGCTCCCACTGGAATTTGCAGCCATCCTGGCTACATACGGCATCACCAGCTCTATCTGTGGGAATGAAACAACAGAAAAGATGTGAGACCTCTGTCAACAGGTGGGCAAGCCATTGAGATGATAACCAGGTTGTCATGCTCCAAGATGGCGTGAAAGGTACAAGTGGAGAAACATAAAAAGAAAGAAGCTTACTCCTTGATTGACTGAAAGTCTTCACTAAAACCGTCATAAAGCGTGAAACCTGCAATTTCAGAAAAATTCATTAGGAAGAATCAAGTCCTGGGCTGTGTTTACACTGGGTGGTGGTCTAATGGCAAGTTATGAAAAAGTGCAACTTACCATTACTTCAGCTGAATTGATTATCAGCTGAAGAGTCGGAAAAGGTAGCTGGGGTGGAGGGGTAGCCAGACGTTCTCAGAAGGAACCTGGCGGTCACCTGGAGCGTTGCTCGTCTATCCAAGGCTGCCTTCAACAGGGAAAGCACACACCGCGCCCCTGCGCAGTCCTGCTGGCCCTTCTCCTCTTGGCCACCCAGCTCGTTTCTTCTTGGTGCCTTGGCCGCACCGCACAGGCACCTGTTTTTTCTTTAAAGTAACCCGCAATTATGAGTTTCCAGCTGAGGTCCTAAAATCTCTTGTTTATGAAAGTGTTCTTCTTTACCCCCAGTTAGCTCAGTTGGTGATTGACCTGAATAACCAAATGCAGCAGAAGGACAAGGAGATGCAGATGAACGAAGCCAAGTGAGTAGAGAGCATGCTTCCTTCGGGACTGGTCGTGGGAGCTCACTGCCTGTTTTACTGTACTCTTGTGAGCGGGGCCAGTGGTGATCGGTGGCAAACAATAGCCACACTGGGCTCAGCACAAGTTTCGTTTCTGTGCATACATAGCCTGGGGTCCTTTTCTACCCTCTGAGGATGGAAAAGGCAAGAAGAGTGCCCTCTGTCCTCCAGGGCCCCAGCACACCCCTGAGAAGTCAGCTTCGCTCTTGGAAGTGTCCCTGAGGCATTCATAGTTCTCCCCATGGCCGTTGCCTGGGGGAGCGGGTGTCTTCTGTGGTGGGGATGGGACCAAGATAGCCCAGTGCCCGGCCACTGGGAACAGGGATGAGTTTGTGGGCAGGGTTGTTCTTGATCTGGGAGACGCCTACCGGTCAAGATAAACAGGGACTCCGAATCCTAGGATCTTTGAGCTGGAGGGGAAACTGGGTTTCACCTGTGCCTTTTCCCTTACTCTGCAGAGAGGGCTCTCTAGAGGCTTAGAAAGGTGGGGAGCCTGCTCAGGCGCTCACGCTCAGTGAGTGATAGAGCTGATGGAATGCGCAAGATACCCAGCCTCCTTTTAATCTCCCATTGCTACACTATTTCAGCATCAAAATCTCCCTCTTCCTTCCCATCCTGCTTTTCTAAAAAATACTTTAACTAGTCATTCATAGTCTGGATGAATTTTGCCCTAGGTGTTTCCTCTCCATTAATGGGATTGTCCTGTAAACCCCTGGGGCTGGGCTTGGCCAAGTGAGGTGCCTGCTGTGATGGCTGAGGTCATTGTTGGTGCCCAGGCTCACACAGCTCTTGTGCAGTATCCCTCTCCCGTCGTGTTTTCAGAATTGCAGAATGCTTGCAGACCATCTCTGATCTCGAGACCGAGTGCCTGGAACTACGCACTAAGCTTCAGGACCTTGAAAGAGCCAACCAGACGCTGAAGGATGAATATGATGCCCTTCAGATCACTTTCACTGCCCTGGAGGAGAAACTGAGGAAGACTACTGAGGAGAACCAGGAGCTGGTCACCAGATGGATGGCTGAGAAAGCCCAGGAAGCTAATCGCTTAAACGCGGAGAATGAGAAGGATTCGAGGTGGGAGATGAGTCGGCAGTCAGTGATTTCCATTGTTTAATGAAGTCGAACCTAGTTCTTAGAAAAGAAAGAAACCAACCTGGCAGCTCTGACCACAGGGTGGGGGCACCAGGAAGCACTAATGAAATTAGAAATAGTGGTGGTGGGTGTGAAAGAGATTTGCATTTATAAGAACACTTTTACAGCTGAGCAAAGGATTGCCTTCCAAAAGGACTTTGGTTGCTATTTTTGCCAGCAAATTCTTTCCGTTTTTCAAGAAGAAAAGCTAGTTCTTGAACAGTATAAATTAAACCAGAGTTAGAAAAAGCTTACAATCCACCACCCCCTGCCCCATTTTGTAAAACTGTTCCAACCCATAGCAAAAACTCTGATCTGGCTAGTGTACAAGAAGACCCGTGAGCCAGCCTCACTAGTAATGAGTTCAAAAGATTAGAACATTTTATTTTAAATCCCCACATCAGTAGTTTAGAATTTGAAAAGATTATTGTAGTTTATCTGAAAGAATAAATACACGGAATAGGAGCCTTAAAGAATAACAAAGAGCCCTAATCCTACCAAATAATATATGCAAAAAGATTTCGAATGTGTGTAAAAACGGAAACCAAAAGGTAGAAGTAAAAAATGTTACTCTCTCTGGGCTTCCCTGGTGGCGCAGTGGCTGGGAGTCCGCCTGCCGATGCAGGGGACACAGGTTCGTGCCCCGGTCCAGGAAGATCCCATGTGCCGCGGAGCGGCTGGGCCCGTGAGCCATGGCCGCTGAGTCTGCACGTCCGGAGCCTGTGCTCCGCAACGGGAGAGGCCACAACAGTGAGAGGC